CGTGCGTGTGTGCGCGTGTGTGCGTGTGTGCGCGTGTGTGCGTGTGTGCGTGTGTGCGTGTGTGCGTGTGTGCGTGTGTGCGTGTGTGCGGGTGTGCGGGTGTGCGTGTTGTGTGTGTGTGTGTGTGTGTGTGTGTGTGTGTGTGTGTGTGTGTGTGTGTGTGTGTGTGTGTGCGTGTGTGGGCGTGTGTGGGCGTGCGTGTGTGGGTGCGCGTGTGTGCGTGTGAGTGCGCGTGTGAGTGTGCGTGCGTGAGTGTGTGTGTGTGTGTGTGTGTGTGTGTGTGTGTGTGTGTGTGTGTGTGTGTGTGTGTGTGTGTGTGTGTGTGCGTGTGTGTGTGTGTGTGTGTGTCGTCCGTGCGCGTGCGTGCGTGCGTGCGTGCGTGCGTGCGTGCGTGGGCGTGTGTGTGTGTGTGTGTGTGTGTGTGTGTGTGTGTGTGTGTGTGTGTGTGTGTGTGTGTGTGTGTGTGTGTGTGTGTGTGTGTGTGTGCGTGTGTGTGTGTGTGTGTGTGTCTCTCTCTCTCTCTCTGTCAATATTTATATATACACACGTTATGTCTTGTTTTGTTTGCTTGGTATAAGTTGCCCATTTGCTTGTTCAGGCGCTTGTTTACCTGTATGCATCCAAGCAATCCAAATTACTTCATCGTTGGAGAATAATGCTCCTAATTATTTGGCGTATATCTGGGCCAGACTTGAACCCCCGTCAAATAACACATCGCAAGTAAGGGCAAATGATGGAACACAAAAAGACAAAAAGCTAGAAAGGTGAGCTATATGAATCCAACGTTATTATTTGAAACGCACAGCCACCCGACTGCCAGGTTGCCGGCTCTAAGCCTCTAAGCAAAACAATCACGCACGAGTTCATAGCCTGATCCCAGTCTTCAGGGTTTACCGTCCCATAGGGTTTCATCCATACCTGGGTGTGTCGTTTGAGGGGACCCCAGTCTTTGTGTTTTGAAGGCAAACCACGAGGAACACCATCAATTTGCAGGCAGCCCCCTCAAAATTTCGACTCCTGTGTATTTTAGTTGGGGAGATCCCCCAAATGACGGTGTCCCCTTGGTTTCCCCTTAAAAACCGACCAACGGCAGGTTGCCCCAAGGCAGACCCTCCCGCCTTCGCCTCGGCATAGGCCTCCGAGATGAGCTCCCGGTGGCGCCGCCGCGTCTCCTGGAGGCCGCTTCCCGCGGGTCCCGAGGATGCGTCGCTTTTTCGTGGAACCCAAGATGGCAAGGGGGATGATCCCTGGTGCCCCCAAGCAAAAGCGTTTTTTTGGCACATGGTGTTTCTCAAAGGAAACCATGCTCCTTTGGTAATTGTATTTTTTTTGGCGACACCAACAGGATGCCAACCGTTTTGCGGGACCCCTATGTTCCCCAAGCCCTGTCAGCCTCTTCTGGTTTCCCTAAAGAGAGCCAGGGGGAAAAAAGTAAAACACACGGCCGTATGAGGGTTTCTCGAAATTGCCAACAAAAACACCAACACTCGAGAAACACTTAAATGGGCTCGTTCGGGTGCCCCGTTGAATGGGTTCTCACAAATGGGTCTCTTTTATATGCAACAACCACAGGATTCGATGTTCCCGAGGAGGCCGGGATGAACCAATTTAGGCGTTTGAAACCTTGGACCCCGAGGTGAACATCAGCTTCCCTCGTTTGTTCATCAAGTTGGGGGGGAAGCCATACTCACTTGCCCAGACCTGGAAATAAAAGGCACTCACCTTTTGGAGCCTTGACCAAATATGGATGGTTGCGAGATCCGTTCGCACCTCCTAAGAAACCACGGTTGAAGCCATTCTTTGTTGGTATTTACAGGGGGGAATAGAATGATTAAGCTGGGCTATCTTAGGTGGTGCGAACGGATTTCGTCCATCCACAGTACGGCCCAAATCAAGGAAACCAAACGGTCAGATCAGGTCGATTCCCTTTGGGGTGAGCTTAGGGAACAACCTGCTCTCCCCGAGGTCTGGCTTGGGAATAGAGCTCATCCCCCACTCTGCAGCACAGGTGCCGGCCCCGTTGTTCGTCCAAAACCACTCAAAACGAGCAGGCATTTCCCATTAAGCATCACCCCGCCACGCAGAACCTGATTCCAAGTATTGATGCTTCAACTGGCCACAGGAAATTTAGGGTGAACACCTGAGCCCCCGGAAATTCACCCCAAGGGTTCAGTGGGAGGGACCCTTAGAAGTGTTCTGAGAACCGTGGCCCAACAGAAATGGGGTTTTGCAACCCTGTTTCAAGGTTATAGTGTGATTTTACCCCCCAAAAAATGGGTTTGCTCACCCCAATTTTCCATGGGCACGGTGATTTGGGGGTGAATCCGATTCCCTCGCAGGTGAGCCGTGAGCCCTACTGTGGATGGACGACATCCTGCACCTAAGAAACCATGGGAAACCATTGCTTTTGGTATTTGCAGGGAAATCATCATTCAAGGGTTTCTTAGATGGTGCAGGATTTGCCCATCCGCAGTATGAAGGAACATCCCGTCCTTCGTACCTCCGCAGTCGCCAGCTTCGTCATCGTGACCTGGGCGGAATCTGATGTCAAAACTGCGTCCATTCAAATAGCATCCCGCAAAAATATAACAATCGCTATTTAAGCGGACAAAGTGCTTCCCAAGGAAAGCAGTCCAAGGCCCTTTTGTGAGCTTCCATCAGGAAAGAAGGTACATTCTGGTGGGTTTCATGGGATTCCCCACCGCAGCCCCCGAAAAGTGATAGTGTGAAGCCCTCAAAATGTTGGCCCACTAGAGAGCCATTGTTGTTGCTCTGGAATTGAAGCTGGCATGCACTTCGGCGGCCGAATCTGCCTTCAACTTCCTACGCGCATGTCGAGCACAGCAAGCTGCCACCCCTTTTGTGCTGCCAACTAGCGCCTCCGCGAAAACTCACCGTTCCCGGGGCTACTTGGATGGCCTGCGAGTTAAGCGGTTGGCAATCCTGGTTGTAACCGACCAAAGCCATGGTTTGTAATTTGTAAGTCCCCTTTTTCACCAGGGTTACCAACCATTTAGCGATTCGTCCCAGACCATGTATCTGATGGCGAAGAGCTCCTTCTCCCCGCGTCGAGTGCTGTGCCTCGCGGGTTCCGCGCGTGCGCCGCGCTTAGAGAGCGCCGCTTAGACGATGCCTCGGGAGAGTCTCACGCCAATTGGGCCACAGCGTCTTCGAAGCAGTTCGCATCATAGGCAAAGCGCACCTCGGAGGACAGCCGGCACGAATGGGTGTCCGCTTTGTTGATACCGGTTTGGATTGGTTCTAAAGGGAAACCGAAAGGAAACCACCCATTTTGGGGGTTCCCAAATGGTTTGTGGTTCCGCTGCTAAAAATACCGATCCGATTCCCTACGGCCAAAGCCCACCCCAGGAAACGTTCGGGGTGGGCCTTCCCCCCCCCCCACATGGCCAAGCATCGATGGGTTGCGCCGCCGCCGCCGTTTCCGCCGAAGCCGAGGCTTGCTTCAAGCCCTGCACGATGGCCACGGCCACGTCCTTCTTGGTGCTGTCAGGGTGCATGTAGACACCTCCAGAGACTAAGCCTCAGTGTCACCGGTCCTCCATGGGCTCTCCTTCTGTGGTTAACTCCCATCCAACCACTACTTGAACTTCACTGCCTGGGTGGATTGGCCCAAAGCAAGTCCGAACTGTTTGTATACCCCAAAAATGGTCCAAACCCAAAAGTATGAAGCCAGGAACTCAGGGGAGGGCGGTTCCCTCGCCACGAGAGTGGCAAACTCCATCCTCCATAGCTCAAACTTCGCACCATGGCGCGTTCGCTCTATGACCAGCCCGCGAAACATTGATCCTATTGACCTAGATCTAGCGATCATGGTGGGCTCCCTTGACCTTTGACCTGCCGCAAGAAATGCACGTGGCTCGTCTTCGAGTCGCAGAATTGAACGATCTCAACCTCGGGCAGCTGGTGCTCCTGCCACATCACCGAAAAGAGAGGCCATCCACTTACACCAACAAACATGGAAGTTTGCCGACCCCTTAGTAGATGACTGCCCTTTTGGAAAAGGGGGTCTGCGCACTTTCATGTTTGTTGGATATGTTTCAAGGGTTGCATGGTTCAAGCTGTGGGTTTAAAATGAACCTTGTTAAGGGGTGTTTCAACAACATCATTTCGCTTCACCCTGCATATACAACATGCGCTGTTCCTTGTCTGGCTGGTTCTCAGTAGGAAAGACCTCTATGAACCATCCTCCGCGACTTCCGTCTAAGGGATTCAGGTTCGTTCCCGAATCCCTTGTGGTTCCCTGTCTAGGTTTGGCTCAAAATAGGGGAACCTCCAAGATGTTGTTCCTGGTGCTTTCCCTTTAAGAACGACCCCCAACAATGGAACCCTTACAAAGCGACACAACCACATTACTGAGAACCCAGACCCGCAGTGGCCATGGGAAAGGGAGACAGGCGCCACGGGGCTGGGACCGGCAAGTTCTGATGAATCCTGGCAGAGCTCTCGCGCTCCTTGGCTTGCAGGTTGTATTCCGCCACCAAGGAGAAAGCGTTCTCCGCCATGTCCTCTGCTCGGCTGAAAAGTCATGGAGGTTGGGGGGGGTGGAGGTTGAGGGGGTTGCTGGGGAGGTTTGCTGGGGAGGTTGGCTGGAGGTTGGTTGGGGGGTCTTTTGGGGGCGAAGTGTTGAGGGGGAGGTTTGGGGGGAGGAGGTAGGTTGTTTTTGTTGTTTTGGGGGGGGCGTTGGGGGTTGTAGGGGGGTGTTGGGGAGAGGTTGGGGGGAGTTCTTGTAACGGGACCTCAATCAAAATGTTTGAACAGTCAGGCCAGGACTAAAACCTCCAGGTTAGTGCCCCTGCTGACCCAAACAGGTCACCTTTACACAATTCATTTGTTGTAGTTCCTTTCTTCTTTGGGCATGGATTTGGAAGTGCTCCCCACTTTCTTAAAACGACCAATAGGTATGAATTTGGGTAGACATAACCTAGGTGAAGATTTATGTTCACCAACCACTCTTCAAGCGCTGTCCTATTCCAAATCATAGCTAGGGAGCCCTGTTGGGGGAGGAGGGCCTTTATCTAGAAAACGGTTTGGAGGCGCTTTTTCTGGATTTCAGCTCTTCTTTCCCCAGTAGGTTCTTTTTTATTGCTCTTTTACTACTGGTTTCATGTCCACAGATTCGCCGCATCCAAACCGTTTAGAAACTTCAGCCACCGCTCGTGTCCTGCACCCTCCGCAGGAACTCGCTCTTCGAATCCACCGTGGGGCCATGGCCCCCCGAGGAACCCGTGCCTCGACTCGACAGGCCGAAGTCAACCTGTCAAATGGATTTCGGCCTTCCCAGTGGATTCCCGAATATTCCCTTTAAAGCCACAAAATAGGGGTTCCCTTAAAAGAAGACGCCAAAAACAAAACTAGATACAGAACCTGAAGGAAAGGACCTATCGATCAAAACCACGCAACAGCGCAAGACGGCTGGAGCTGAGTTGCCTTTTGGCCCCACCACGTAGAGCATGGCCACGTTCTGCTGACCTTGCAAGGTCAACTTAAAAGTCAGACTGGCAGAATAGATTTGCATGATTTTGAGAATGTGCATTTGTCTATCAAGTCAGTCCTGTGTTTGTGTGTGTTTGCCCATTGATCCGCTCGCGGCGACAGGTCAAATAAAGACCTGGTCTAGTTCTTCACTCATTCCTTAGATTATCCATGTATTCATCTCTCGGTTGCTTTCTGCTCCCCTGCTAAAAGTTGAACTTTTAGTGGCTCAAGGGAAAGCCCATTAGTTGGCAAAAAGTTTAAAGTCCTAACATCCCTTGGCAAAATGCGCTAAAGATCTGTTGGTCTAAGCACCTACCCCAAAATGGGATCCCAACACAGCTTTGACAACCACAGCCATCTGTTCATGCATGTATTGATTTATCTATTTCGCTCCTGTCCGAGGCTTCGGCTCAGCGGCCGCACGGTGCCGAAGACGTCGAGGAAGGCAGCGCCCACCGGGTCCGAGGTCCCCGGTTTGACGTTGGCCGGCAAGCGGCCCTTGGCTCGTCGGCAGTTTCCTCGATTTTTTGATTGGGGGCGTTGGAGGTGGGTGGGAGAATGATGCGGTCGTTTTTGTTTGAGGGCAGTTGTTTTTGTGGGTGCGGTCGTTTTTTGTTTGAAGGCAGTTGTTTTTGTGGGGGCGTGGTGGGGGAGGGGGGGGAAATGCGGCGGTCGAATTTTGCTTGAGGGCACAGTTTCTTTTTGTTTTGGTGGTTGAAAGGGAAACGAAAGGGAAACCAACGATTTGGCGCTTATGGGAACAGAGCAGTATTGGGACATGATTATGATCCCGCGAATTGCAGCACTTTGAAAGGAACGATCCTGAAAAAGAGTTTTGGAAGAATGCCCACCCCGACAAGTGAAACACGTGTGGATAATTTGGTGACAAAAATGATGGGCAGTAAAAGGGGGGCAAATGTACTTCATTGGAGGTCACAAGGCATGCACTAAAAACAAATGGCAGCTCAAGAGACATGCAGTTGGCAACTATTGCAGGTCTATGCCGCGGACAAAATGGCAAGGCAAACGGGAAGTAGAGACAACAAATGGTAGGCCAACAGGTATGTAGCTAGTTGAACAAGCAGCAGGCCAAATACGGAGAGACCCGGAGAGACAACAAAATTGTACGCCAAAAGCTATGCGGTGGGAAACATGGCAGGTTTAAAAGGTTTAGAGCGAACAAGTGGTTGGCCAAACGTAATGTAGATTGAAACATGGCAGGTCGAGAGGTATGTAGGACAAAACGTATGTAGTTGGAAAATTGCAGATTAAAAGGTGTAGAGCCAACAAATGGTAGGCTAAAAGGTATGTAAAAAAATGTTGGACAAAGGTATGTAGTGAAAAGCAAATATGGGTAGCACAACAGGCACCAAGTATGAGACAGGGCATCGCCCCCCATGCACTAGTTTCAGTATCGGTTGCTCACTTGGGTGACACGTTCAAGGGGTTCTGGCAAACGGGTTGCTTTCGGATTCTGCACACATCCTCCATAGGGTGACTCTCCAAGGCTTTGTAGTTCAGTTTGCTTGAAAATAGATGGCACTGGTTGCAGGTTGGTTCTAATCATTTACTAGTGCCATCTATTTTACCAAAGGGCACCTATGGGTATTCCCAGCTCACTTCCCGAGAAACGATCATGAGTTGCGTCACCAGCTAAAAGGGTCCTCAAAAAAATACCCTCACATAATTCCGGCGTGATTCTTCACTCCAGCCCTTGCCAAAGTCTGGGTTATCAAATAGGCATGGACCCCCAACAATAATTGGTTCCTTTTGGCAGTTGCCCTTCCCAACGGCGTCCAACATTCTCACAAACTCCCATCTGTCCTCCCAGTCTGAGGGGTCGAACAGCCCCTAGTTTTAGGTGAGCTCTTTGTATATCTGGCCCAGACCCCTCTCCCCCCCTCCTTGTCCTCCCGAAGTCGTGCCGAGGCTTGGCAGCATGACACCCAAAAGCTTGGTCAACCCAGCAAAATGGCACGCCAATCAATCTTCCGCCCGGGTGCGAAGCAGCCCAGCAGCCCGAGGTTGGATCGC